CTCCCCTAGGGCTTCTGCACCAGCGCCCCCGCTCCCAGGCGCTAACGGCAGCACCGAGGCCCCTCCTCCGCTGCCCCCCAAGTCCCCCAGCTTCCAGGCTCTGCCGCAGAAGGCGGGCGTGCAAGCCTTGTCCGCGCCGCCCGGCCCTCCGGGGTCGCAGCCGCTCGCGCAGAAGAAGAGGCTTGGCCGGGGCCCAGGTAAGCAGCGCGTTTGGCTGGCGGTGAGGCTGTGCTGAGCCACGCGCGAACCTGGGATCGCTCAAATCCTAGGATTTTGTTTCACACCGGAGCTGTTCAGTGCCCCCTGGTGGAGCGCGATAAAGTCGTGCTCTTCTATGGAGGTAGACTTGCCCAAGATCACTCAGGAGAGAGAGCAGGCATTCTGGCCTTGGTCCACTTGTGGCTACTACCTGTGTGACCCTGTGCAACACTTACCCTCTCTGTGCTTTCTTCTCTTCTGTAGAATGGGAATGGCGACTGTTGCTGAGTGGTGGGGTTGTTGTGACTATTGAGTTGTTGGATATACGGTGATTGGGACGGGGCCTAGCAACAGTCGACTCTAGAGAAGGGTTATTTACTCTGTGGACCTCTGGCCTCAGATCTCTTCCCTGGGGCTCAGGGGATAGATGCCTCGCATTTCTCGAAGTAGGTCTCGTTTTAGTCTTTGCCTGAGTTATTCCAGGCCCGACTCTTTCCTGGCCCTCCAGAGATTAGATTCACAGTTTGCCCTTCAGTGAGTTCTCCAGCTAACTCAGAAACCAGGGCCTGCATTTTTGAGCCAAAGAGTGAGCATAATACCTTCACACTTAAAGCTGAGAGGATTGTGCATTGAGTGTGCACGGCTCATGACTGATTTCTGTGGTCTCTGGAGTGATGTGACATCATGCACCACACATCCACACACACGTGCACACACACACACACTCAGAAACAGACACACTCAGAAACTCCTACGACCAGACACACACTGCCTCATCTGTGCACAAACCCACCCTGCATACTCAGCACCCATACACATCTACACTTACACACACACCACACCACACATTCCGGGCTGTCCTCTAACCAGGCTCACCTCCTAACAGCAAGTCAGCTACAGCACCCCTGTAATCCAGACACCTTCAAATAAATGAGGTTTTTTGTGGGATAACCCAGATTTAAATCATGATGTTATTCAGTCCTCCCAGCAACCTTAGGAGGTATATGTACTGGTATGAGTCCCACTTTACAGATAAGAAAACTGAAGCACAAATAGGCTGTTAGTCATCCCAATGGAAGAACGTGACTGAATCCCAAACAGATTGGTTTGAGATATCACCCTCTTACTCAGTGTCGTATTACATCCTAAGATCTAAACGCCTACCCTCTCGCATAAAGCTGTAGAATCCACTGTGCACATTCCTGCAACTGAACACCCCTGCATCTTCTCTCTAAGGGACCAGTGGAGGAAAACTAAATCCACCTCCAGCACCTCCTGCAAGATCCCCCACCACAGAGCTTTCCAGCAAGAGCCAGCAGGCCCCAGCCTGGACCCCGACCCCACAGCCTGGAGGCCAGCTGCGAAACGGAAGCCTGCACATCATCGGTAAGCGGGCACATATTCCCGAGTGGACTGCCAGTGGCAACGGGGCCCCTCAGCCTCTGGCAAGTGAGCTAGGAGGACTCTCTCAGTGCTTCTCAGTGAAGCGGGGAACTCACTCAAGCACAGAACACCTGTGGGCTCTGATAGGGTTTCTCTCAACACTTTTTTGCCTGTTTCCGAGGCCTCCCTTGCACTCTGATTCAGATTAGAGAAGGAAGGAGAACGGACATTTAAATTATGTGTGTTGTTACATGTGTGTGTATGTTGTCTGTCTGTCATCACAGAGAAATTAGTGTATGCACCTGAAAGACCAGAATGACTTGGATAAGGGAAAGAAACAGGTGGGAAGCTTACAGGAAGGGGGCAAAATCAGAGCAACAAATGAACATAGGAAGGAAAGCCACCTGGGGTCAGATGTGACCACAAAACTCCTGCATCCCTGGGATAATGTCTGCCAGAAACAAGGGCTGGGCCACAGAGCAGGGAATCAGCCCATGGCCACATGGCCCCTGCCATCCTCTACCAGGAGCTCAGGGCAGACGGTTCGCTTTGAGGAACCCAGGTCCCACATTGGATGCAAGCAGGTTCCTTCTCACCCACTGAGGACTCCTTGTCCACCTCCCACATCCCTCAAAGGCCTCCCACTGTCAGGAGCTTCAGGCTGCTACAACTTGTTGGACCCAGGTTCCCTACCCTACCTCTGGACTCTGGGTGTCCCTGACCACCTCTGCCCCTTTCAGCAGCGTCCTGGAGACGTTGGTTGGAGTAAGTTGGGGTAGGCGATGGGGAATGACTGTGTATTTTACTTCTCCTCCTTCCCCTCACCACAGCCAATCACTAGATCTTGATAGGCAGATGGATGTCTCAGAGGGAGTAGCCCTGCCAGCAAACCCCTTGCACAGAACAGGCAAACAGAAGACCGTATGTTCAGCCAAGTCACCTGTGCATTCCTGGAAATGATCACACATGGGTCACGACAGTGACCCCAGTAACCTTTACCATTTCCCACATGTGCAGACGACTTCGAGTCTAAGTTCACGTTCCATTCTGTGGAAGACTTTCCCCCTCCAGATGAATACAAACCATGCCAGAAGATTTACCCCAGCAAGATCCCCAGAAGTAAGTACCACCCTGTCAAGACTCCTGGCTTTTCTTGACTCTCCAGAAGTACACACTCAGAGTGTGCTGACTGACCACAGACTACCTGAAGGGTGATGTCGTGATATACTGTCCTAAAAGGAGGTGGTGTTGTCCCTACTTCTGAAAGTGTCAGAATATTTTTTTATCCTTATATCTTAAGATTTATTTGGAAGCTTTTTATAGACCAGGGTTAACTCTTTGCCATCAGATTTGGATGCCTAAATTAACTCTGTATCCTTCCCTTTCCTAGAGCTTTGGACTAAGGAACTAAACACCCCAAAACATCCCAGTAAAATGGGATACAGGTGCTTTGCATTAATAGCTAGGGAAGAAACTGAAATTCTACAGTTTAGAATTTCAACAAATCATGAAATAGAAAATGTCTTCAGGCCAGTGATTCTCAACTTTGGCTACACATTAGAATGACGTAGGAGCTTTGAAAAACCTTGAAGTCCAGGCTGGATCTGATCAGAATGTCCAGGGTGGCACCCTGATGTCAGTAGTTTTGAAAGTTGCCAGGTCATTCCAGTGTGTAGCCAGGGTTGAGACTCACAATCCTGAGAGAGCCTGCTTCTGCTTTGCTTGTGTGGTCAGGCTTCAAGAGAGGCTCTAACTCAACTTACCTGTTTATCCTAGGGAGGAGAAGACGCTGGCCCAGCTGCCCTTCAGATCCACAGAAGAATTGAGGGAGGGAGGGCAAAGAACATAAGGGTTGAGGTGTTGCCCAACCAGTGATGCTGCCCCCTGGGAAACAGGAGTCAGTGCTTGTGCAGTGCTGGGCCAGATCGGACAGGAGTTACTAAGCAGGAGGGTCAACAACATGGTGTGAGGGTGGATATGTTCCTATTCCACCATGAGTAGGATCCCCCAGTCCATGGTCTGTTCACCCAACTGGAAAAGTATCAGTGTCCAGGGCTAAGCCATGACCAGGAGTCAGGGACCAGGTTTGGTGACCCTGTCCCTTCAGAGGGACTTTAGCAAAGTCACTTCTGATGGACTCATATTTTCTGCAGAGCAAACTCCAGCCTTCTCTGCTCTGGACAGAGGCTTTCTCAGCACTAGCCCGGGCACAGATATCCCTGCTGGCTGTGGAACTGCACACAGGACAAAGGGAAAGGATTGGTGTAAAGGTGGACAGGATGAGGGATGTCACACCCAGTGAGGGTTCCAGTGAAGATCCAGCAGTAGGAGGACAAAGCTGCTGTGTCTGTCTTGCATTCCTGCTCACTTCAGCAAATGCACTTGAACTGCCTTTGTACACTAGGCACCCTGAGAACACCAGAGGTCACCAAGTGTCAGAAACAAGGTCCCTTCACCAAGTTCCCACCATGCACACTCCTGAGATGTGTGTATGAGAAATTAGCTGTGGTGAATGAGACTGTCCTAAAGTGTATTTAGTGTGCTGAGGGTCACCAGGATGGGTGGAGGTGGAGGCAGAGGTGGAGGTGGAGGACCCAAAAGCCTAGAAAGAAGATGACATTTCCATGTGCATAGGAAGACATCTGACCTGAGGACAGCACAGACCCAGGAGAGAACATGACAGTGCTGGAGCATTTAGAGCCACACGTCCTCTGTGGTATGTCAGGGTATGAAGGGCCTGGCTGGGCTGAGGCTACACAAGTGACCAGAAGCTGTAGAATGCCAGTAAATGACACCTCTTATCTCAGCTTGTAAAACATGCAGGGCTGTCGGACAGAGGAGTGCTTAGGTGTTCATATTCTTAATGACTGATATGGCTTAGGTATTCAGCCACAGCCAGCTTTCTCAGGCTGCCCATAGTGCCTGCGAAGAGAAGAAAGCCCTATCCCATCACCCCACGCAGCTTTGCAGAGAGGCCACAGTTGGAGTCTACCCTCCGTTCCCGCCCTGCCTCAGGGAAATGTTCGCATCAGTGCCACACTAAAAGTCATCTCCTGTTGCTCAAAAGGAGACAAGAAAACAACAAAAACCTATTAAATGACCTGCCATCCTACAGACTAAAAAGCACAATTTCAATTTCAAGCGGAAGATAACTTTTAGATGGATATGGCATCTGTGGACATGAAATTCTTTAAGAGCTTCCCAGCAAAATTGAGTGAGCATGATCCTGCCATCCTGTGAGCATCAGTGTGAAATTTGTTAATGATACTACTGAGTTAGCTCTGGGTTGTGCCTGTCCGATTGTGTTTCTCCGTACAGTTTTCCTCTTTCTCACCGTTGACCGAGTTAGCATTCCTTATGGTCTGGGAGGCAGTGTTGGTTCTGTCACATGAGGATAGTCTCATGCTCTGTGGGTGTGGGGCTCACTGTCTGTCCCCTCCTGCATGCTTGCATTCTCCTCCTTCCTGCATGCACACACAGGCACACATTCACAGCACACAAGACCCTAATGTTTCACTCTTCCCATAGCCATATTCACTGTCTCTGTTCTGCCATTCTCGGTGTTTTATTAGCAAGATAGTTTTGTCTAGTTTTTAAAGTATTTTTAAATGCATTCAATTCCTCAATAATTTAAACACAAAATAACCATATGACACTTGTTAGTTAGCTTTCCATTATTGTAAAAAAAAGAAAATACTTAATGTAATCAACTTAAAAAGAGGAACGATTTCTTTTAGCACATGGTTTGAGGTCTGAGCCTGTCTTGGATTGGCCCTGTTGCTTTTGGGCCTGTGGCAAGGCAGCACATGATGGTAGCAAGTGGGTGGCACAGCAGAGATGCTCCCGTCACAGTGGCTGGGGAGTGGAAGAGAGAAAGGAAGAGGCCGGGGTCTCACAGTCCCCTTTGAGGGCACACCTCCAATGACTTAAGACCTCCAGTGTGGCCTCAGTTCTTAAAGGTTCCCCCAACTCTCAGTAGCGCTACTGGCTGAGGACCAACTCTTCCACATGTGAGTCTTTGGGGGACATCCCAATCAAATGATAGCTGACCCATCAATTCCTCTCCTTGGTATAGACCCCAAAAAGTTTTAAACTACTGTTCAAACAAAAACCTGTATACAGACATTCCTAGGAGTATAATTCACAGTAGCCAAACAGTGGAAACAACTGGTGAACAGATGAACAAATGTGGTCCAGCCACACGGTGGGTTGTGATCCAACAACAGAAAGCGGGACAGTGCAGAGACACCACAACACAGGCTAAGCTCAAAAACATGAGCTGGGTGAAAGGAACCAAAAGTGCAGGCCACGTAGGAGTCCATTTACGTGAAATATCTGAAATTAGCAAATTCATAAGCTGGAAAGCTGGATTATTGGCTGTCAGGAAATCAGGGATGGAAAATGGGGAATGATTGCTAAAGGGTATGGAATTTCTTTGTGGGATGATAAGTTGTTTTATACAACATTGTGAATGTGCTAAATGTCACTAATAGTAAATTTTATGTGTATTTACTACAATAAAAGAAAATTTTATGTATCAGGAATCTTTGTGGGAAAATACATAGGTCACAAGTGTTTACTGACATGATAGTAGAAAGAGTAAAGCCATCATTATATCAGCAGATACTTAATGAAGTCCTTACCCCTAGAGAGATATTGCTTCATGAATATATCATCTGCCCTTGAGAGATTCACATTATATAGGAGGGAGAGAGGGGAGAGAGACACCCAAACGTGTCATTTTAGTCTGGTATTCTGAGAAAAACCATGTTCATCATAGTTCAGTGGGAAAGTGGCTGATTTTAAACATGACTATGTTGACATTACAACTTCTATTTATTTTTAAATTTTTAACTGCAGCATAAAACACGGACAGGAAATTTACCATCTTAGTTATTTTAAGTGTACAGTGAAGTAAGTTAAGTGCACTCACATTGCTGTGAAACTATTTAAATTATTTTATTAGTAGTAGCTCTATCCTCATTAAATAATGACCCCATTTTTCCCTTGCCCCCAACCTTTGGCAGCTACCATTCTACTTTTCTATCTCTATGATTTTGAGTTCTCTTAAGTACCTCGTAATAAATGGACTCTTTTTTAAGGCTGAATAATATTGTATTATTCACACACACCACACACATACACACACACACACACACACCACGTTTTATCCATCTACTGTTGGACATTTGGATAGCGTCCACATTTTAGCTATTGGAAATATTGCTGCTATGAACATGCGTTTACAAATGTCTCTTCAAAACCCTGCTTACAATTGAAAGTTGCTGGGTCATACAGTAATTCCATTTTTATTTGAAGAATGTCAAACTGCTTCCCATAGCAGTTCCAACATTTTACATTTTCACCACCGGTGAACAAGGGATCCAGTTTCTCCACATCCTTATCAGCACTTATTTTCAGTTCTTAAATTTTATTTTATAGTAGCCTTTCTAATGAGTATGAGTTTCATCTCACTCTAGTCCAATTTGCATTTTAAAAGTTAGTTCACACTTTCAGTAAAACTAACCATCATTACTTCCATGTTCTGTGGAATTTCTCCATCTTACATTACATTAATTGTAACAATGTGGGGTAATTTATATCATAAAAATCAAAGTATTAGGTATCCACAAACTAAGAGAATTAGTAGAAAAGCATACCACCAGTGGGAGAGTATTTAGAAGACATGGTCAAAAAATATGTGTGTGCTTAAATTTTTTTAAATTATTACAGTAAAGAAATACATTGCCATTAATCCCCAAAAATGTACTTCCTCTCTTCAAACACACTTATCCCATCATTCTTGCCACTTTCTGAAGCAGTTCTGGAAGTCTTCTTTCTTGATTGTCTTTTCATGGCTGTCTCAGTATCAAGAATTCAAAACATTTACCTTTCATGGTCATTTTGACTTTGGGGAAGAGCCAGAAGTCACATGGTGTCAAATTATGGTGAATAAGGTGTATGGGGAGATGCTGTGATGTTTTTACAAGCCTGCTGTCCTTCAGGTGAGACTTGGTAGAAGCATTAACCATAACTGTTTTTATCACAATTCATGAAAACTCTCGCAAAAGGAGACTTCAAGAACTGCTTCAGAATGTGGCAAGGATGGCGGGATAAGTGTATTCAAAACAAGGAGGAATATTTTGGAGGATCAATAGCAATGCATCTTTCACTGTAACAGTTTTTTTTAATTTAAACATTCACCATGTTTTTCAATCACCCCTAGTATTTCTGCCTTTGTGGTAAGCAGTTAGGCAGAAGTCTTGGTCCCAGTGAGCATTTCCGGCTATTCCTGATTGTTACTGTTGACCACAAACCCTCTTTATAAGCTGCCTTCCAGCATTTCATTCCTTCACCACTGCTCCTGTCTCTTCCGGACACTTGCCTGTTTCTCCGTACCCACACCCACAGATGTGCTGTCACGTCTAGACAATACCTCCCCTGAGCCACTCTGCTCCTGAGCCTTCTCAGGTTGTCTTGAAGCCAACCCATCGCCAGTTCCTCTCCTCCTGTTCTCTCTCCACTTGAGTCCTCCCAGCTTTCTGTTCACTCACGGTGGCAAGAGCTCGAATCACGGCCACCAGTAGACTTCCATGTTGCCAGATCCCGTGGTCAGAGGCATCAGGCACACGCCAGCACCCCCTCCTTCCAAAGCAATTTTCCATTTAGGTTTTCCTACAGCCCTCAATCCTTGCTTCTTCTGCTGCTCCCTGTTACACCAAAAGCTTCACAGTCATCTCTGACTTCCTTGTCTTCTAATCCTACATTCAACTCATAAGGAAGCTCTGGGCCATCTTTCTCTGAAATACACCCAGAATCTGATCTATCTCACCTTGACTCCCACTCCCACCCTGGCCTAAGCCACTGCCGTTTCTTGCTCTAATTGCTATGAGGACTACTAATAGGCTTCCTCCTTCATACTGCAGCCAAATAATTCATCTGAAGCTCAGTCCAGTCACGCTACCCTAAGATCAAACTCCTTCAGTGAATTCCCACCTTGCTCCAAATCACCTGGAAATCTTTATCACAGCACGTAAGACCTACAGGAACTGTCCCTCTCACTCTCCCTCTCCTTCTCCATCATTCTCTTCCCACCTTAGTTATGCTCCTGCAACACCTGCAATTTTTAGAACATTCCAGGCACCTTCCTGCCCTGAGTTCTTTGCATGTCCTGCTCCTTGTGTATGAGACACTTTCCTCAGACATCCATGCGACTCTCGCAGCACTTCCTCTGGATATTTGATCAGAGGGTACCTGTCTTCAGCAGCTCAGTCTGCCATAACAAAAATACCATCCCCTGGCCAGCTTAACAGACATTTATTTTCTTTCTCACAGTTCTGGGAAGTAGCAAATCCAAGATAAAGAGGCTGGTTTAGTTTCTAGTGAGGGTTCTTCTTGCTTTTCAGCGGGACAGCCCTTCATTGTGCTCACATGGTGGAGAGAGACAGAGAACAAGCACTCTGATGGCCACCAGTCCCTGTGTGGGGGCCCCATCCTCACACCCTCGCCTAATGCTGGTCCCCTCCCAAAGTCCCCACCTGTATATACCATCACATGGGGGCTCAGGCTTCAGCAGATGAATTTTGGAAGACCACAGTTCGGTCCAAAGCAATACCTTACTGGAGAGGCCTTCCCCGACCACCCTATTTAAAATAGTGGCTCTTTCTGCCCCCATAGTTTTCATTTTCTTCATGCTGCTTTTTAATTGTGCTAAAAGCTTTTATCACCTGCCTCCATATCTCACGTGTATACCTGCCTCTTGCACAGCTCTGTCTCCTCAGCACAGTGTAAGGCTCCAGTGCAGGGGCTGCATCTGTTTTTATTCAGGTCCTGTTGCCAGCTCCCGCTGTGCAAATAGTTGTTGAATTAATAAATAAAAATGTTCACTCATGCATATATCACTAAAACACACACAGAATAAAAAATTTAGAAATAGGACAATTTGCTGTCAATGAGGTTAAATAAATTACGGCAAAGCCACATAGTAGAATAGCGTGTAATCATTAAAACATCGTTGGATGTTCAGTGACATGGGAAAATATTCACACTGCCATGTTAAGTAAAAAAAAAGAAAAATAGCAAAATAAAATATAAGAAGAACTAAGCTGTGTGAAAAACTAGTGTGTCTGTGTAGAAAAGAATTTCATCAAATGGAGAAGAAGACTAGAAATACACTGAAATATCAAAAAGTTATCATTCAATGGTAGAATGCCAAGTGATTTTCATTTTCTTCTATATGATTTTGTCCAAATTTTTATAATATATATTGCTTGCAACAACCATTAAAACTAATTTTTAAATTGTAAGTTATTGGGGGAGATGATTAGCTCACCCCACCCAAGCACATGTGGAGAAGTAAGTGAAGCCCAGGATGATGTCTGTCAGGGATGGGGAGGCCTGAGCCCTCTACAGGGGGACTGTGGTCAAGACAGGAATGATGGCCAGGACTGCAACAGTGACTGTGACAGTGACAGTGAGGAAAGAGGGGAAGGTCAGACATGCAATGCCAAAGGTTTAGATTCAATGGAAACCATCATTTCCTCACTTAGAGATGATGAAAAGGCCCTCGGGGATCATCCAGCCCAACTCTTGCATGTACAGCTGAAGAAACCCAGATAGGTAACAAGTGGCCTGCCCCAGTCCCCAGCTGAAAACAATTCAAAAAAGCCCTGAACCTTCATTAAAACATTCAAGTATCCAGTGCTCTTTGTCCGGGCTCCAGAGGAGCCTGCTTCATTGCCCAGTGTTTCTCACAGGAGGTTGTTGGACCCCATGGGCCAGTTGGCAACGTCTAGAATCATTTTTTGTTACTAAAGTAGGCCTGGGCATGGACAGGGCTGCTATGGGCACCTAGTAGAGACCACAGATGCTGTTAGGTATCCTGCAACATACAGGGCAGCCACACAATTAGGAAATGCCTAGCCCAGGATGTAAATAAAGCCTAGACTATGAAATGCAAGCCTAGAAAGTTTTTTTTCTGGATCGGACAGGAGTTTCTTATAAAAACAAGAGTTTTCAAGGTTATTCTCTGACATGGAATAAGGTCAGGGGCTGTCTGTCCGTGCCTTTTTACTTTTTATTCAAGCTGACTGAAAATCTAACACAGTCGGTTGTTTACTCCAAAATATCTTTATTAATTTAGAATAAATGCACTCATTAATTTAAAAAAATATTCAGATGGGCGTGATGATAAACACTTGTGGTTTCAGCGCTCTGGGAAGCTGATGAGGCAGTGGATTGCAATTTTGATCCAGGCCTGGGCACCTTAGTGAAACCCTGTCTTAAAATAAAAAAGAGCTAGGAATGTAGCTTAGTGTGAAAGCCCTGGGCTTAACCCTTAATCCAAAAGAAAAAATCCCACAAAAGAAAATAATTTTGATGTTTTAATGAAAGTTCAAGGCTCTTTTGGATTGTTTTCTAAGCTTCAGAGACCCTTCTTGTGATAGTTCATTTTAAAAACTATTTTATCTTAATAAGAGTCTTATACTCATTTATATATGATCACTGCAGAAAAATTCAAAAGTATTTAACAGAGTTTTTAAAAATGGTAATTGCATCAAGAGGAAACATTGTAGTTTGTGTTTTTGATCAATTGTAAAAATAGTTGAGACTGTTCTAATTATATAGCTTCATCTTCCTAAAACAAGCTTCAGTAAACATTCAAATAGTTGCTTAGTACTCATGTGACATGACACTGAACCCTCGATGACCTAAAACCCTCTATTGGACACAGGTTATTATCAGCCTCCCACTCTATAAATCTGTGATGTATATTTCTTTGTTTCCTGTTGCTTTTAAGTAACGTACCAATCTGGATAGTTCTGGGGGCTTTGGGACATGGTTAAATTCCTAGTTCCAGACAAAAGCAGGACAGGAACATCTCCTACAGAATGCAGCAGAGGAGGAGACACTGAGAGTCACCATTCAGAGCACCTGATTGAGGGGAGAGGCCTGGAATGCCAGGGGCCATGGGTTTAAAACGTGGGTACAGCAACTAAATCATGTATCTGCACATATACAGATCTGTGTAAGTATTGAAAAGAAAACACTGAAGTGATTAACCCCAGGCTTTTTGCCATGATGACTCTGGGACAAGAAATTGGGATTAGTGGAAGAACCAACCAAGAGGCATTTGGGGGCTTATCCATCATCTTTGGTATTCCTTGAATGCTTTATTATGACTGTGTATTCCTGTGCAACATATGTAATATTGAAGCACAGAATGTGATGGAGAGTGATTTGGATCCTCGTGGACTGATTCAGTTTAGCAAATGCTTTTACTTATTCTACTGGACCTGGCACATGCTTTGCATGGTGCAGTGGCAGGCAGTGGCAGGCAGAGGAGCGTCCCCAGAGGCCATGCTCTGTGTTATAAGGTATCTCTAATGTGCCGGGCCTTAGTGTGCTCTCCTTACGCATACCGGACTTGACTCCTCTGTATCCATGGTCTGTGACATAGAAGATGGGGTGGAAACACACGGGCTAGGGCCAGAGCCGGAAGGTTTCAGGTTGACAGGCTCACCTTGCTCTGAGCTCCCTGGCTTAGTTTTAAGTGCTGGTTTAGCAACTGTTTCTCCATGAAGTGTGCACAGCTGGCCCTGGGCCAATAGATGGTGAGATCATTCTTATTTCTCTCAGGCCGCACTCCCGGTCCCTGGCTCCAGGCCGAGGCAGCAGGGCAGAGCTCCGATGACATCAAAAGCAGAAATTCTCAGGTAACAAACACACACCGCAGGTCTCTGAATGTAAGGCCAGGCATTTTCCTTGGGGTTTCTCCTTCACAGCTGAACGTTTCTCCTCAGACCCCTTTTCCTTGGGAAAGCTATTTGGCCTACCTTTGTTTCAAGCCACTGTGAAATACCCACAGTTTCAGACCTGAAGAGGGAAGCAGGGGGGTTCCTGCCTTGTGCACAAGCAGTAGTCACTGGGAACCCCTTAGAACTCATTCTGCAGTAACCGTTCCCATCACTCCCTATTCTTCGCTGACTATGAAGGTCAGAGAAGCCGTTAGAAAACTCCTGTAACATTTATAGAATGTAGCTCAGTGTTTTCTCTCAGCTATGGTGTCTTTTAGCAACCTTGTTATGTTTTTCTCCCTCAGTATTATGATGGATTTTGACCAAATATCCCAGTCTGAGCCCCCATGGCTACAGGAAATAGATAAAGCTCAGTGGGATTTACTTCTGCGCTTATACCAGACAATCTCTGAAGAAACATCCTTGTTCTCAACCAAGGCAATTTATAAGTGTTTTCTACCATAGGCAGAAGTAGCATCTTTCACTACCTGTGATAGGGCCTCACCTTTAACAAATGACAGGCTCTCGTCTTTAACACTCCTTTCTTTAAAACCATATATCCGGTCCCAGCCTGGCTTCCTCTGGTTTCAGCATTTGGTGTAACAGACAACAGTCTGGTTTGTTGTCAAACCAGGCCATTCTTCAGCTGCACACAGTGTCAAGGAAAGTGACCTGAGAAGGAAGGGACTTGGTTCCTGAGAGGTAGGATAGTTCTGAGGAGAGAAGGACTTCCTTCCTCTAGCAAATATCAAGTAACCCAAAAACTGCAATAACCATTCTCATATGATTGCAGGTTCAAAACTGGGTGTCAGTTGTAGTTAAAGTATATATACATAAGGGAAGGGGAGAAGAAAGGAAAGATGTATGCAAAGCTTTTAGTAGGTAGACAGGATTCTGGGAAGATGGCAGGATATGAAGTGTAAGGCATCTGTCTTCTTGCCTAGATTATAGTTGCACTGGTGGGATCTGTCTGGTCGACCTGTCTTGGAACTAGGGGATCTGTTGAAGGTGTACAGCATCCAAGGAAAGCTTCCACGATCAATTGCAGTTGATTTTAGTCAGTTTCAGCTCTTAATATGGGAGCTGAAAGCCCCTTCCCTGGTCACCATAGTAGGCAGCTGGGCATAGGTATCTGGAGCAGCTCGTGCACAGCTGATGGTAAACAACATGAGCAAAATTTTAAAAGCCCAGTCTCCCAATACTGGGAACCTGTGCTGTGATAGCTTGGCGACTCTTCACAGACGTGCAGATAAAGTGGTGGGTAGCCACAGTTGCATCTTCTCTCCCACTGTTCCAAGCACCTCCCCTTCTGGCTTACTAAGACATTCTTTTTTTTTTTTTGGTTTTTTTCTCCGGTACCGGGAACTGAACTCACGACCTTGCGCTTGCCAGGCAGGTGCTCTGCTGCTGAGCTAAATCCCCAGCCCAAAGACTAAGACATTCGACAGTAACTTCCTGTCTGGGGAGAAATGGGAAGTGAGTGTGTATGCCCAGGGAATGGTCCGGGCTCAGGAAACACCTAGGACCTCAGGTGTACACCTCAGGCTGATTCTTGGCACAGGAGACAACCAGTAACAATCCCCCTGAAATAAAATAAAATAAAATAAAATAAAATAAAATAAAATAAAAACTGAAAACCCTAGGGAAGGGAAAGAATCTGATTTCCAGGATTACTGCATTATTTGATTCAAATATATAGTTTTCAACAAAAACACAAATAAGGGGCTGGGGATTTAGCTCAGTGGTACAGCACCTGCCTGGCAAGTGCAAGGTCATGAGTTCAATTCCTGGTACGGGAAAAAAAAAAAAAAAAAAAAAAAAAACACAAATGATATGAAGAAACAGGAAAGTACAGCCCATTCAAAGGAAAAAAATAAACCAACAAAAACTACCCCCCCCAAAAGACCTGATGGCAGATCTACCAAAGACTTCAACACAGCTGCCTTTAATGATGTTCAAATGGCATCTTCACCACCGACGTGGCAGGGCTGTGTGGGACATGGTGCGGGATCTGGTCCCCAGCCTCATGGCAGGCACATGACTAATTCAGCCCAGACTCATGGTTTTTATCTCTGACCATGACAGTCCAGTACAGGGTGGATTATAAATTCTTCTATTGTTAGCCCACAGTCCCTCACTGGAGACCTCCTTAATTCATTCTTAGGGCACCTAGACACAGAGCAGTGGCCAGAGAAATCACCGGGTTCTAGACAGCAAGCAGGGCCTCAGGGAATGCTCTTCGTTATGGAGACAGTGAGCATTGCCTGGGTGGGAGGCCTGGGCTGGAAGTCTGAGGCCTGGGTCCCTCTCTCACTTTTCTTTTGCCTTGACCTGGTATCTTCAGAGTGTTCTTTGCTGTCCCCGAGTGTCTTGCCAACAGAATTGCTGCTGCCTGCTCCCATAAATGTTTATAAGACATCATTAAGTCCCCACATGTGGTCAACTTCATTTACCATTTTATGTTTTTCTGCCCACAACTCCTTGGGTAAAATCAGCTCCTTGCATGTGACAGAACCATCTCTCCTACCTTGGTGGCCTTGTGTGAGTGAGGAAAAGCCTTGGGCAGGCCTTTTGTATGCAGTGTGTCTTCTCATTCACCCAGCAATGTTCTGCTGTGTTCCCACAGTTAGCCCTAAAGACGCTCCGGTGAGACGACGATGAAGCCACAGTCCCGGAGCCCCACATGGCAAGATGGTACCTCCTGAAGAACGTGTCTGACTCTACTGTACTCAAGCTATATTCAGTTGACATACAGGCTCTGACAGAGCACTTATTGATTGTAAATATATGGTTTGCACGGGCTTTAAAGCAGCATTTTAGTTAACTTTTGAGTAATATTTTTTAAAACACCATTTCTCCTTTTTTAAAATGCATCGTGGTATTAGTCTGTCTGTACAAATAGAGCCCTGTCCCACCCCATAGTGTCTATTCTGTGACTGTAAATAAGCTTGCAGGCTGGCCCTTCCTAGATTCTGAACCATTTTTAAGAGCGTCCTTAGTTTGCAGGTAGTCCCAAAGTCCTAAGTATCCACCATGGCTTCTTATTGGCATGACTTTATAGTCTCATTGCACCAACTACAAAATCAAACCAAATAATGCCTTATAATGATGCAGCTCAGAGGAAGTAATGTGTCCCCACACCCCGACAGCGCCGCGCAGCCTCCAGTGAGTGAGATGCCACATCTCGCTTCCACTTTGCAGTACAGGGATGTCTTTTTGCTGCCTAATGTAAATATATTGCAATGTCCAGGCAGGAGTGGGCTCGGCCCCTCCCGAGCCTTCCGCAGGGCCCCTTTTGTAACTGAATTATTTTACAAGTAGCCAATGCTCTTACTGTTTACAGTGTTCCTAGTGTCCACGTCTCTGTCACTTTCCTCCTGTCCCTCCAAGTTCCTAACCCTATCCCAGTAGTTAGGATAAGGTCAGCTATATGAGATTTTGGTATTTTAGTATCCTGCAGGTTAAGTAATATACACAATTCATGATTATAGCAAACTACAGATTCTGTCTCAGAGGTCTCCCCCTCCCCATCCTCACCCTGAGTGCAGGATTTCCATGGAAAATATGACATGAAAAAGTATTAAAACAAAACATCTTGTAAAATATGTGCCTCAAGAATCTAGTCCCATTGTTATGCTTTAGGGCCCTGGGAAGCAGCCATCAGGCCGAACTGAGCTCCCTTCTAAGCGGACGGAGAACAGCGGAGGCTGACAGTTTCCCCTGCCTTCTGGCGGGCACCCAGGGCCCAGGGGTTTGTGCAGGGTCCACTGCCTGAACACACAAAGGCTCGGGCCAGATGGGACTGCCCCTCCCACTTGCTTTGAGCCAGCAAGTGTAGAAGTGTGTCTGCTTACTGCCTGACCCCGAACGCTGTCCAGCCTTGAGGGAGAGGGCTGTATTAGGGGAAGGAAAAAAACAAACCAGAAAGAAACAGACTGATCACTGGGCTGTGCTCAAAATAGCTACAAGTTAAAGGAAACTGGCAAGGGAGAGCAGTGGAAAATGTTCATTTTGGAGGAAACCACTCATACCTGTCGAACATCAGGTTCAGGCAAAGCCATTCAGATACGGTGGACAGGAAGGAGGGTCTGGCCAGCAGTACTGCAGACACCTGGGTGTTCACTGGAGCAAAGAGTAAGCTGGTGTCTTGGCATCAGCATTGTGCTTTCTGGATCCAGGCAAGCAGCTGAGAGCCAGGATGAAGTTCCTGTCTCTGCAGCATGACTCAGGCCAAACTATAACAATGAAATAACGGGAAAACACTTTGCAGGCCTTTTGCATTACTGATGTATAGTGGAAGGTTTCAAAAAGGTCAGAATTTCTTTGTTGGAACAGTATCCACTCCACCTTCCTCCTAGCTGTGTAAATAACTATAAAAGCTTTAATTACCATGATGAAGGCCTTAGACAAAGGCAAGCCCACCTTCAGAGTAGACCGCCTGCCCCGATGAAGTGTTCCTACCTTCATGTTCTGCACTGCAGGGTTAGAAATAAAAAATAAAAAATCCAACTAGTCAAGGACAGAGGAAACCAAAAATGGCAAGGAGGGAGAAATCTCAGGAATCTGGCATCACATCGTTCCTCAAGACCTGTCACCAAACCCACAACCCTCTGATCTCGTGAGCTGGTGCACGAGTTCCCTGGGCAGTGTAGTCGGGCCCTAGACCCGGGACTCACAGGCAGAGGCCTCCCTACTGTCCTCCCAGATTCCCGCTGACTCTGCGGCCTGTGACTCCCCCAAGTGTACCTCTTGTATTTTATATTTATTGATGTCTCCTCTGCAGATTCATTTCTTTGTACCTAATAAACTTTAATAAGTGGAAATGCTTCCGAGATTGTTTCCTTGTTTTAAAAAAATCCATCTGTGGTCACCATTACTAATCTAAGCCAATTTTTTTTTAGTTGGAGTGAAAGAATAGTACATGTTTATATATATTTGAGTACTAAACCAAACCTTTGTTAAGAATTAGGAGGGATTCTAAGAATGCCACAGCAAAGTGGATATTACAGGGACCCTGTACTTGCTGTAACAGGTGCTTGTTGTGTTGGAAACCAGGCCTTTCTCTTTTGAGCTAATTTTGTGAATGTCTGGAAAAATCAAGGCAAAAGAAATTGTTTTCAGATGCATTTGAAAAAGTAAATAGCACTATATTTATTGTGTTATTAGTACAGAATGGGCAGAGTGTATTGCTTCTAAATTCTGCTAACTTGTGTTAAAACAGGACAGCTTGCCACTTAAAGTGCCCTTTAGTCCCCTTCCCCCAATTCAGCAAGCCTCTCAAAAAATCTGTATGAAGCAGAACCATTTCAACCTCCATTACAGTGTCTTAAATGGGTGCTGGAAGCTGACGTAAGAGAGTCACTGTACGTGATGTGAGTTTGGATGACAAACACAGACCCGAATCTTCAGGAAAGTAAGTCTGATCCTCAGTTTGCTCATCAGCTCAATGGAAACATCAGTGTGTATCCAAGCAAGCCCTGAGCCCTTAGGTCACATCAGAGCCAGATAAGGACACACCTTGCACTCAGAAGCAACCAATTTATTTATCTCATGCTCAGTCACAGACCCAGCTCTGCTGGCTGCATCCTAGGAGACCATTTAGCGGCTCATGTTTGCTGAGCTGCTCAGACCACATTTCACTAGCTCTGCTGTTGGGTAACTAAGCAAGAGCTGTAATCAAAATTCATAGATGTTCCAGAAATAAATCTCATCTAGAAACCGGTGTTAAAGCTAGCTACTACACACTGCACATCACAATGAGTTAAGGCGCTGATTTATTTTGCCTGCCCCGTATTGGTGGAGGTTGAGTTATGCTGTTTAATCACTAAAAGAGCCAGTCTGAAGGGGGAAGAAAAGCAAGGGCCTAACATATTTTACAAAGTAGATGATGAATTTCAAAGTCATTGGCTGCCATAGGTGGTGAAGGAGCTGTAACTGTAAGCACTCTATAGAGTTAAGAATGGGAAAGGTGGTCCCCGGAAGCGAGGGGAGTCACTCAGTGGGAAGGACTGTAGATGCCAGGACCAAGTTCCAAATTCTCCCCACTGTCCCCTAGGAGGCTTTGGCATCCTTCATGAACTCACACTGTTATGCAATGAACTGTGCCCCCCAAAATTCATATGCTAATTTTCAGTACCTCAAGGCATGACCTTACCTGGAAATAAGGTCACTGCAGATATAAATGATTAAAATGAGGTCATCCTGAAGTGCAGAGGGCCTTAAATCAAATATGACTGGTGTCCTTATTAAAGGAGGGGGCAATTTGGACACAGGCGAACACACAGAATGTAGAGGAAGGCAGAGACTGGGGTGATGCCAAAGATCTCCACCAAAGCGGCAGAAGCTGGGCAAGAGGCTTGGAACGGATTCTCTCACAACCCTTGGAAGGAATCAACCCCGCTAATACCTTGATCTCAGACTCCTTGATCCAAAATTGTGACGCATTTTTCCTGGTTATACCACTTGGTTTTGATACCGTGCTTACAGCAGCACTAGCAACCTCGTATACAATCTGTCACCTTGGAACTTTTCCTCAGTGTGTTAATGGTTATTAAAAACAAGCTGGGAATAAAGTTTAAAGAATTTGCGCTTCCTTATCATGCACATGAAGCCATCATCTAGACAGACCTTGATAGGTCCACTGACTGCAGGTGACTAAGTCCTGTTTTCCTGAACAGGACAATCAGTTGTGTTCTCCCTGCATAAGAGTGAAGAGAGCTTTTTTTTTTTCCATAAGTGATATCCTTCTGCTGCTGAGTTGCTGAGCATTTAGAATAAACCACCTGATGATCTAGTATGGGTTTTTTCCCCTTCTTTACAAAATCATAGTAGAATTCGCTTAACACAGGACATGGTTAGTGCTCGGCAGTGTTAAGCACATCCACCTTGCTGTGCACCCCTCACCACCATCCATCTCCACAGCTCTTGCCATCCTGAAGAACTAAAACTCAGTACTATCAAACAATTCCTATTTCCCCTCCTCCCAGCACCTGGCAACCACTCTTCTACTTACTGTTTCCATAATTTTGATTACTCAAGTATTCCGTGTAAATGTAATATCCTCCTGTGACTAATTATTTTACTCACAGTAATGTCCTGAATGTTCACACATGTTGTAAGTGTGTATCAGGATTTCCTTCCCTACTGAATAATAGTCCACGATGTGGATGTACCGCATTTTGTTTGTCCATCCATCTGTGCATACTTGCTTCCACCTATTAGCTGTTGTGAACCTGGTGGACAAATACTTCTTCCAGACCCCACCTTCAGGTCTTCTGTGTACATACTCAGAAATGGAATTGCTGAGTCACCGGCAGCTCTATTTTCAATTTTTTGAGCATTGTTTTCCACAGTGGATGCACCAATTTATGTTCCTACCAGCAGTGCACAAGCATTCCAGTTTCTCCACATCCTCAACAACACTTGCCATTTTTTTAATAGTCCCTATCCTGATGGGTCTGAGTTGATATCTCATCCTCACCATGTGTTCTTTGTAAAGAATGAATTAATCCAAAGAAAGGTACTAAATGCAGGAAATTGCCAGAATGATGGAGTTTCCTGAAACTTCCAGTCAGAAAAACAAGCCCCTTTCATTCATGTTCTATGTTGTGACTGACACCTGCATTTTTTCATGAAACACAAGACAGAACACATTGATCTCAGTATCTTTTATTGTATGCTTGATGCGTTTAGAGACAATCCCAAGGCAAGCACTGGCTAGGGGCGTTATCTGGCTTGTAGATGTATTTGTACAAAAGACTGTTAAGACTACATGGTCAGTTCCCACTGCAGGAAACAGATTTTATTTTCCCTGGCAGTAGCGTTTTCCAGCTAACACATTTAAATTCTCACAACATGATTGCAAACATGTACATATGGGTTCCCACAAGAAATCTCCAGATGACATTTTGGGGTGTTTGGTATCAGTCAGACAAAGCACATTTTGACACACACCATAGGAGCAGGGATTCTGGGCTGGGTGGAATGAAATGCCACAGCTACAAGAAGCATAAGGTTGTGCTGGGACAGCTGGCATACCACCTGCCATGCCTCCCCTGCACACACAGGTGGCCAGTGAACTAGATCCCCTCCCATCTCCTCCCTGTGTTTCCTTCCTCAAGCTGAGAGCTCAGATGAAGACCTTTCCAATAAAGGATGCATGGCTCTCCAGGCAAGAATGTAAGAGGTGTCATGACCGACAACTGGTCCCACCTGGCTTCCTTGCTGGGCCAGCCAGGAATATGTGTCACCTGTACCAATGTAGGATGATGTCAGTTAGGATGCAAAGTTATTTGTCTGGTCAGTAATTACGCTTTATATCTAAAGATTCACCAAAAGTAAGGGAACTTCATGGCTAAGATCTAATAGGCATATACCTGCTCTGTTAGCTTGTAAGGTAGACTAATAATAACACTGGGTCTTACATTATTGAGTACTGGAATCTCTGTAATTCTGATTATATCCTTATTCTATCTAAAAGTTCAAGTCACCTCCAAGAATGAAAGGGTACTATTTTTGCTTTGCTAGTGTACTTTCACTGGTGTCTGCCCTGAGTCTGAGGGCTGTCTTCACCTACGGTGAATCCCATCTACTAGATGAGACTGACTAGCTTACATTCGGTCACAGGGGAGAAGTGGGGGAGCGACTTTGTCCTTTATGGCCATGATTTCTTTCTGCACAAAGCATGCACAGGTGCCCTCCCATCTTAACAGATACACAAACGGTACTCTAGGAAGCTATTTACATACGGTGACCTTTAAACATTGTCATATTTCATCGTGTATATTCATTTCCTATATTGCCTTCAGAAAAGCAATCCCTTGTGAAGAAATCGTGATGAGCATTTTTCCAAATCATTATCTGTTAGGAGTATTTAAAAATAAATCGTCCGCTTTAACAACCTACTCGAAGTCCAACAGTGTATTTCCAGCTGTCAACTTTAAGAAGATAAAGGTCACTAAAAGTGAGTACATCCACATCAGTAGCCCTTGCTCTCTCTGTGTTTCCCTAACCCTCCTGATGCACAAAGAGCCAGTCCCCTGCTATTTTTTGGGTTTTGGTTGTACCACCTCCGCTTCCTGTCAGGTTTTGCCAGCCTGTGCCATGGAGGGCTGCCATGCCCTCTAGTGGTGACAAGGGACCTCACACTTCTGATGCCCAATGCCAGCCAAAATCACTCTCAAGTAGTATTGGGCCTTCTCTATGATGCTTGATTGAGGTCAGCGCCCCCTAATAGAAGACATTGTGTTCCCCACTGCACAACTGGGTAATTATACCAAGCTGGCAGAGCTGTCTGCTACTTTGCCCACAGTAATGAAAGGAGGCCTCTGTATAATTTACTGTCACTAGACTCCTGGAATCAGTGTGGCAGTCACAGACATGTCAGGGATAGGGAAATGTTTCCTAACAGGTGGAGGAGGGTGAGACCACACAGTGAAATCAGAGGGTGGCTTTGTGTAGCATCTCATTTTACATAGCCATTCATCAGGAGAACTTGGGAGTGGACGGGTACCCATATCATCCTTGAGCCTCATCCTTTCTTCCTTAGCAGCTGCCGACTCCTCACAACTACAAGGCACCGTGACTGGCAGCCATTAGCTTTTCTCCTAAAATTCTCTTCCCATCCCACCATGGGTAGTTGGAAGTTTTACATGCAGAATTTACCAAATAGCTGAGCAAAAGTAGGAAGAAAAGATTTGTTCCAATAAAACCTCTGCTCCTTAGTGTTCACACCGATATGATGAAGGGTGGGGCCCCTTCCAGCCCTCATGGTCTAGGATCCTGCTGCTGGGAAGGAATTACGGACCCTAAGCCATTTCAAAAACTACAGATACTCACAATATTTTGTTTGCTGATTCCTGTCGAGGATGGTAAAGCATAATTAGGCCCAAATGGCATTCTCCCACTGGCTGCTCCATTATCTATGCCTCTGGACATTTTGGGAGCAGATGAGAGTTTCAGTGGAGCTCAGCTCCCACCACCTCCTACCCACTTCAGATAGCAGTCTAGGGCCCCACGCCTAAGGGAGAAGACCCAGGAGGTGAGCTGCTTCATACACCAATACGTGGGATCCAACGGGCTGCGCAGAAAGGACATGGCTGGACTCTCACCAGCAAGGAAATGCTTCTGCATCCATCTTTCACCTAGTGGCCCTCTATCCTCCCAGATCCCCCCTGGTCTTCTTTGCATGTTTTTCTATGCTCTGGTGGTGAACACAACATTGGGAACAAATCAGTTTAAGTACAGTCTCTCTGCTAGTGGCTGCTTGGCTTTCAGCTACTCTAACTGCAATCTAAGTAATCAAGCGGTCTCTTTTTCTTTCTCTTGTTAGCCAAGAGAGCCGCAGATGTGTGGGGTAGAATTCTGCCACAGGGCCATTTAATGGATCCTAGGCTAGATGTTAGCAACTAGACCTGGATCATTTCCACCCAAAGCTGCATCCATGGGGCAAGTGCACTGCCATGAAGGGACAGGAGCCATGCCCTTTGGGAGAGCCATGCAGGGATTCAGGGAATCGCCTGCATAGTGTCCCAGGATCTCTAAGACCCAAGTGTTCTGACTAACACACATGCCCAGATCTCCTGCCTGTGGAAGCAGGTCGAGATCCAGCACATGGAAGATAGGTCTTTCAGGATCATGGGCACTGGCATGGAGCTGAGCCCAAGGAGGGTCCCCCTGATTCCTTCCCGTTTGTCGGTCCCCAGGAGATACCTGTGGAGACTGCGCTACACACAGCCATAGGCTCAAGGGAAGGGGAGCGGTTCTCCCTCGACTCCACACACAGAAACCTGTGTACAGACAAATGCCCTTTGTTAACCTGGAAGAAACTGGTACTGAAAGACTAAGACTTCAAAAGAGCTTGCTTTTCCCGCCAGCTCGGCATTGTGAGCCTGCCTCTCAAGGCCCAATGAACTCTAGCTCTCCCAGGAGAGGCTCATGTGTCCACTGTCACGGAAATAAAACACTGGCAGCTTCAAGTCCACAATTCAGCACACAACCGAATACCAGGGAAGGGGGATACACATTACATAGCAGTGGAAGGAGAACTATGGCAAAGAAGGGGACGTTTAGAGACACAAGGTAACAGCTAGATCTGGCTTCAGAAAAAGAGGCCACATCGTAACTTTCTCATTTGACTCAAACAGGAGAGTGGTTTGTTTTGCTGGTAATTTAGTCAGGTGGGAAGTTTTAAATAAGAAGGGGGAAAGGAATGCTTACTTCACTTAAAGAACTTAATCTCTGTGTCAACGCAGTCATAGAAAAGGTCCCCCACCTCGGCGGGGTCCAGGGGAGCAGGGTTACTCAGGATTTCCTCCATAGCTTCCAGACCTTGCTTCTCCAGCTCCAACATTGTCTTCCTCAGCATGCGGCCCTGCTCCTGAGAAAGGACACAACCACTCACACGTCAGCAAAGCAGCCGTGACAGTGGACACTGACAACCCTGGGGGTCGTGCTGGCTCCCTTCCCACGGCCCAGCCCACCCGCTCCAACTTGGTCCACACTCTACCACAGGGAATCACTTTCTAAATTCATCTGCATTTACTGCTAGTCTTGCCCTTTTTTACTTCCTTTTTAGAGAGTCCACTGTGCCAAATATAAGACATAAGCTTGCTGAGGCCACAGAATATGTACAGGCACCAATTTATCTCTAGGAAAAACTGGACCTATTACAAGTTGGGAGCACAGAGGAATTCTGACAACTATGTTCCTCCCCCGGCCCCATGACAAAATATGGGCTTGGATTTTAATTGAAAATTCTTCACTTCTCTGGGCATTGATTAGGTGCTGGGGGAACACACACTGGGGATTTTTCATATGTGATTTGCCGTCTTTTAACTTTATTAGCCAAAGCTTTGACAGTGGGAGGAGCACTTGCAAGAATTACTTTAAAAGAAAAAAATACTGGGAACTTGAATATCCACTTTTTTTTTTACTACTGGGAACTGAACTCAGGACCTCCCACTTGCCAGGAAGGCACTGTGGCACTGAGCTAAATCCCCCGCCCAGTACTGGGAACTTGAGACTCTTTTTTTAAAACCGTATTTGTATTATGGGAAACTGTCACAAAATTTACCATTTCAACCATTTTTTCACTGCACTGCTCAGTGGTGTTTCACACACACTGTTGTGTATCCATCAGCACAATCCATCTCCAGAATGTTTTTGGAGAATTGCTCACTTGAAGCAATGGATGACTGCCTCTTTGAATAAAGCAGTACCATCCAGTATACTATACCTCTTTACCTTCAAAAGTATGCAAAGAATTTCAGACAGCACATTAACTGGGATGCCTCCCAGAACTGTGCACTTACTACTCCAAAATCTCTAGTAAATGAGCTATTCTGAGCCCACTGAGTTTGAGAATCAGATCACAAGGAGAGGCTCTGCCTGGCTGGGCTTCGGAAGAGTGGTGGGGAGAGACGGCAGCACTCTGGATGAGCCTGGGGAGCATGGCTTTCGGGGAGGAGACTGCTCAAGCTGGAGAGGAGGGAGAGGACTTGCTGGCCGCTTCCCGCCTCCTTGCTCACTGACCTTGCCACCCGACATGGGCCCCCACCCAGGCTGACCTGGTCACTTTCGATGACAGCACGTGCCCACTCATGGGCCTTGTACAGCTCGTGCCGGCGGTCTGGCTTCTCCTGGAACCGAGGCTCTTTTTTGGCAGGGTCATCATCCCCGAAACAGGGGGACTGTGCTTTGGGGACAAGTTTTACATCATCGACAAAGATGAAAGGCTTGAATATGGACCTGGAAAAAAAAAAGACAGCCACTGAGGCTAGGCTGAGCTCAGAGTCTAAGGACAGCCCAAGACCATCCTTTTACTCAACACACGCCCCTTGAGCCAAGTTTTGGCGAAGGTGGGTGGTGGACAGTGGATAACACGTGCCAAGACATGCCGCATGTGTTAGTAGCTACTTCAGTCAAACTAACAGCTATTTACAAGCTTTATGGTCTTCTGTGTACAGCAAGGAGACACCAAAACAGGCTCTCTCTGTTCAGGGTGCACATTGGAGAAACACTTTTCAGTTCAAAAGTAAGGCAAATAGACATGCAGTGTTCGGGGAAAGGGTGTAATGAATCACCAACTTGAGGTAAAGAAGCCTGACTTTTCCTGCATAAGTGGCTCTTCCGGTTTTGAGGTTCAGTCCTACTGAAAAATCTTTGCAATATCTCTCACAGACTCAAGGAGGGGACAGATTAAGGCAGATGACATCAAAGGATCCCAGAGCCTCTAGAGGGGACATGTACTCCCTTGGAGCCCACATGTAGAAATCATTTGTGAGACTTGGACATTTTTTTCCTCTTTGAAATGAGCACACCTTGGCCCACTGCAAGGACCCTGAAGTGGGTCAGAAGTGAGCTGCGATGCTGACTCTCAGCCCTAAGGTAGGTGGGGCCTGGGGCAAGCACAGCAGCCTGCGAGCCCAGGATCTGAAAAGGATGGGGAGCCAGTCCCTTGCTGCCCAGGTCATGTCCTTGGACTTGCAGCAATAGCACCACTGCAGAAGCTGAAGCTCAATGTGCAGCTTAGCAAGATCTCAAGGGACTCATAACGTCCAAGTCCCAGGGCACTGCTAAGGGCAGGGGTAATGAGGGGAGCCCCCAGGCTAGTCTCCCGCAGTGACCATGGGAAACAGGGCTCAAGAAGGAAAGACACTGGTCACAATATGTGACACTGGAGCCAGACTAACTGAACCTGAATGTCAAAGGCATGAGGCCTTCGCGCCCCAAGCTGGTGGAGTGGAACTTGTGAAGGACGAGTGTCAGGGACTCCGCTGTCCTCTGCAGGTGACTCATGTACATATCGTGTATATGGGAGATGAGTCCCCTTCCTAGCCCTGTCTGCTGGGGAGCACACAGCATGCTGTGCTGCACCCTCCCAGGGCCCTTTCTGCCCCTCCATTATCAAAGGGAGTCCCCAAGACACAGGGGTGCCTCATGGAAAGAGATCGTGCCTTTCTCTTTCTACTGACTGCTGGAGGTAAGAAAGGAATAGATGTAAAACTTCTAATTGTCTAAACCAATTCTGACCAGTGGGAAGTCGGGGGTAGTGGTAGCAGGGAAAGGAACGGTGCCCAACACAGAGAGGCATCGGAACTGCTTGTCTCTGGCTGCTGCTGGTCTGACAACATAGGCACGTCACACCCGGCAAGCCAGCGTCCCACTGTCCTACAGGGCCAGATAGCACCAGAGCATCCCTGAAAGGCCAGTGCTCACCATACAGTAGTGGCAGACAACGACCTGCAGGCAGGCTCAGTCCACACATTCTCAGCTCTAGGGCTCTGTACTGGGCAAAGCCAGTGGCAGTCTGGCTCTGCCATTCACTCCCCAGGGCTCTGAGGCTTTGCTGAGGGACTGGTGTTAAAGCCCCCTGAGCCTGTGCTGGAGAGCATGCCCCCTGGGAGAGGAGTTCCTGGCTTCCCTTTTCATCCACCCAAACCACAGCGATGTCCCCTTATGAAATGCTATTTCCTACTGTCCCCACACCCACCTCTGTCCTCCACCACTCAAAAATCAGGCAGCAGTAAGCTCATCAGGACACCTGCATTCCACTCCTGCAACTCCAGTGCCTTACTTCCGGTGTGTCTCTTCTGGCACACTGACCCCAGGACAGAACCCAGTCAAGGGGTCCAGGAGGGGACAGTCTGGCTGCAGAGGGACAGCGAACCAGGCTGGGGATGGTGCTAGCACATGAGGGCTCTCTCGGCCTCTGTTGGCCCCACGTTTCTCCTCTCTGGCTCTTATCTGGACCAAGTGATCCCTCTGGTCCCTTCCAGCCTCTAAAACTGTTATGCTATTTCTATGTTGTGTGTTTGTCATGAGGTCTGTGGACCGATGATTTCAACTTCGGGAAGTTTACACCACCTACAAAGTCTTCTGCATCCAGCGTGTAAGATAATGGTGGTAAAAAACCAGGATGCTCTATTGGACGCAACTTCAAATCTGCTCCACATCACTGGAATATGAGCATTAATTTAACTAATGAATGTGTCTGGTGCTTTGCTAAGATAGTAAGTGCCATATACTTATCCCTTCTACCTATTGATTTTATTTTTAAAACAAATAAATACAAGAAGGTGCCCATGATATTTAAAGCAGCCAACCCATTCCAAGGATTTTTTTTTTCAAAGTCTATAAGGAAACCAGCATTCTCATCTGCTAAAAAGATGACATTAAAGTGGTTAAAGGGGGACTTTCTGAGACTGAGTAAATAATATAAGTAGTAAAAGTACATAAAGACAATTACAGTATCATCACTAAAAATTATTGCTGATAATAAGTTGCAATAATAGGAACATTTACTTCAGATTTGGGAATTTTGATCATTTGTACTTACATACTATGTCCCCAAATCAGAACTGTGAATGACCCAGTGGCTTCCAAATGTTCTGATTTCTTGTCAATACTTACTGAAAATCACATTTAAAATTCCAACTAGGTAAAGAGTCATTATGGCATTTTCTCACATTTGAACCACAGATGACAGCTTCTCCAATGCCACTTGAATAAATGTATGCCAATTAAAGGCCCAGAGAGATCGAATGATTTGGTCAAGGTCATATAGCCAACCGGTGTCAACCACCCAGCCACCATCCAGGACAAGGCCAAATTGGTAACATCAGTGGCATGCCCTGGTGTCCAACAGATAACCATTATAGAACACAGCCTCATGAGAGGACTCCAGAAATTCATGGTGCTTCTGTCCCCAGGGCTGACTCTGAGAATGACCTTCAGAAAAGTCACTTAGCTCAAAATTCACCCTGGCCACTCAGCCCATCCATGGAGTGGTATGACATGAGTATAAAATGTTAGGCCGAAAGGGGAAAGTGCTTCCAATGGCCACAGGCAGGCAGCACATGGCTGGTTAACAAGGAATTTAAAGCTGGCTGAGCTACTTTAAAGAAAGCATGAAAGGCAATTAAGCCAACAAGACCACGTGGAATACACAGGGAGCCATCAAGGCCAAGGCACAAGCTCACGACACAAAGCACAGCAGGGGCTTCCACGGTCTGTCTCAGAGCCACAGAATTTTATCCCTGAGTGACACTTTGAGGCACAGGCCAAGGAAGGTGCCCCACTGGAAGCACCTGGTTTATCCGTCCTTTCTGCTTTCCAAAACCTTGTGATGGATTTACCAAGCTGTAAAATAATGTTTTCCCATCATTTGTTCTCTCATTTTGGAAGAATAGCAAAAATATTGTGAAAATCTCTAACATTTTATACCATAGCCCACTTTGCATTTGTTTCTTGTGGCTTCAATCATTCGTGTATTTATTCAGTAATTACATGTTGAGCTCTGACCAAGTGCCAGGCGCTGCTCCAGGTACCAGGAACACAGCACTGAGCATGCTGTCTTGTTTTACAGATGAGAAGACTGAGGCTCACATAAGCTACATGCTTGGTCCAGAGTCACAGTCCTCATAACTGGCAGGTCAAGAACTAAATGCAGATCTTCTGAGTCCAGAATCAGTTTTCCCCCTGCCTCCCACTCTTACATCCTTCTATTTTTGTTTTGTATACATTGTGCCATTGCACAAATCATCATCATGGTAACTTTTTGTGCTTTGGGACTTGGAATTTAATTATGAATGGCCACACGGTAGTTCTGACGTCAGGCAGGGCTCTGTTCTTGCTCAAGAGGTGGATACTCCTCAGGCAATTAAACCAGGCTGATGTTGTGATCTGGAGAATCCAATGAAGGACATTAAGTACAGAAAGGAACAGCACAGAGGCCTCTGTTCTGATGAATCTGCTAAACTCTGAACCAGTCTCCAAGGAACCTAGAAGAACCAGTTTCTCTCAAAATGTAAGTGTCCCTCTGAACAATCCATCCATGGGTCACCGCAGCTTTATTGCCACAATATGTCACTTTAATCTTATTGTCAAAGCCACACCTGACTCAGGGTGGAACCAATCCATGAAGAGGGTTTTAATTTTAGAGGGAAAGAGAACGAATGCTTTTAGAGCACAGGACAACTTAGGGATGGTGTGCTGGGCTCAGATCCTCAGGATTTAGAAAGTCAAAAACATAACATGGAGAGAAAGGAGATGCGGTGCTTGAAGAATTCAGAATGCAACTGGACAGGAGGATGCCATTCTGCCTGGGATCCTCAGCTCTTCATATCTGTGCGAGCTCTGCCCTCCATGGCTCCAAAGGCTGCATAAGTTATGGTGTCTGGCTTCAGCACATCTTCTCAAGCAAAAAAAATACCTCCTGTGGCTGCCACTAAAGTAGGTCAAATACCTCATTTTCCTGGAACTACCTCTGCCCTTATATGTTACCATCCTCTATCTCGAGTATTTGTGCACTTTCCTATGTACAAGGACCTCTCAGGGCTTTTCTAGTCTAAGAAATTTGTCTCTGAAAAAAGTAAGCCCAGTCTGCTGACTTCCAGGGTGTAAATACTTCCTCACTGGCCTATTTTAAGCTACCAATGGCATCAGGGAACACCGAGTTGGGCAGAGATGCATACAATCAGCTCTGTTTGGCTCTAGTATACTCAAACACTCTATTCCTACCCCAGTTCCTCATATCAGTGAAGCTTTAACAAGCTCGGCTTCCTAGGAAACAGCTTCCAAAAGCAAGAACCAGTGCACCAAAGCCGATTAGCGTGACTACATGAATGACTGAAGTACCCACTGACTCAACAGAATACTGATCCAGTGGAATATGCCCTCCCCAAGGAATTAATGGAAGGACTTGCACATCTCCCTCAATCACTTACATAGTAGCGGGCACACAGTAGGATGGAGGGAGGAAAGGACGAAGGGATAAAGTGAGCATGAGAGCAGGTCTTTTCAAGAAAAGGATCTATAATTAGTGCAGGATCTATAATTAGTGCAATGAACACAGGAGTGCCTGAGCAGACAGGACAATAGTGAGACTGCGTCATTTGGTCCTAACATTGACTGGAAGAGATAAATACTGTAATACAGTCCTGCCCTTGGATCTAGTCCTTTGCAAGCCCACTGCTCTGAAACTGTCTCCTGATAATGTCTCTCTAATATTATTAGCTTTCACAGAAGCAAACTAAGATCTCCTTAATTGTGCTACCTAAAAACCTAAGAGTAGGTAATTATGCTTCCTGCTGACAAAATACAAAATGTTGAACATGCCCAATTACAGAGAAACACTGAAATGTTGAATAAGACAAAAAATAATCTATGACAGTTCTACAGTCACGGTGGGAGACATAGCCTATTTAGCGAGGGAAGATAAAAATGAATGTCTTCCGGAAGGGCCTTAATCTTCTACAAGGTCTTTTCAATTAATTTAACCATGAATAATTTTCTTTTAAAATTACTTGAAATTTTCCCTTTTAAATATCAGAAGGTTATTTTGCAACCCATTTCTATAATTGGATTAAGCCATGTACTTCAGCCTGAGAAATGAAATTCCCTTCCATTCATGTCCTGGCATGACAAAGCCTGGCTCCTGAGAGGAGTGAGAGCAGGAATGTGAGACAGCAGGACAACGAGGGATGCTTTGGTCCAACCCACTCCTTGAAAGGCTCCAGCTTCCTAAAGAATAATGTCTAAATACCTTAGCTGAATGTTCCAGGTGCTTCAGAATAAACCTCTAAATACCCATACATACCCGCAAAGGCCAGCAGGGTCCTCACAAGAGGCTGCTGATCCATCAGCGCTAGGGGAACAAGCTGGAGCACCATCCATCAGGGGAGGAGCCTGGACCCCAGGGGAAGAGAAGCCCCAAATCTGTGGGCCAGACTGTGGGTGGAAGGTGGGACCATGAAAGCAGGGATTCAGAACTGGGAGATGAATTGAGGAAAAGGCTCTGGACTCGAAGAGTAGGAGCATCCAGAGAGGGTGTAGGTAGCGGAGGATAGCAGGGGGACCCCACGAGTGTGGCTGGGCTTGTGTGATGGAGGGGCAGGGGGCAAAGGAGGTTGCAACCTAATCACCAGCCTCATCCACGAAAGGAAGCACCCCATAACCTGTGCGTGTTCTGTCATGCTCCTGTGCCACTTGCTTGCTAGTCTCTCTGCCCAGAATGTTAAATTTCCACTCCTCCCACAATGTGTCCTTGGCATTTCTGGAGCCCATCAGAGTTCCTTCCTCAGTGAAGTTCTCCTCTTCATCATGTCGTCTGTGTGACTTCTTTCCTGTGTGACTTGGAATACCTCATTTGTCCCTTCCAATGAGTTTAGAAAACTAATGGCTAGTTACAGAAAGTAGTCCCTAAACAGTTATAGTAACCAAAGCTTAGAAAGGTTAAGTAACCTATACAGCTACTAGGTAACTGAGATGGATTTGAAATCCTGCCAATTTCACACCTTTCACATTTCACAGCCTTTCACCTGCCCATTTCACATCCTTTCACACCTCATCCCTGATATTCAAGACGCACCTTTGGTATGCAGTAGGTGCTTACTAAGTATTGGTTGAGTGAATGAGAAACTAAGAATAGTTTATACTAAGTTCAATAGTCAGATCTCATTAAATGATTTACTGACATTGGCAGTAATTTTTAAAATGAGGTCAAAGAACCAGGAGAAATGTTTGATTTTTTTCAAGTCATTTAAGATGGGAGGGGAGAAGAGAGAAGGGAAGGAGGAAGGAGAAGAAAGTCCCCCTAGCTAGACACATCCTTGTTTCATATTCCTGAAACAGTAAGAGAATGAACACTTTCAGCTGCAAAAGGAAAGAACTTTAATAGCAGCAGATTCTTTGGTAGTAGATTCAAAAGTTTAACTGAAATTAAGCAATGATAAATTTTTGCCCAATAGAGTACCTGATACTCCAGAGTACCTATGGGACTGGCAGTTTTGCAGAGATTTCATACTGAGGATCAGAGTTACAGAGTTCAAGGTCCACCTTGAACACTCCGACACAATAGCTTTGTGTCAGGGCATCTGTATTTTTCTGAGACTCCCCCCAAATAATTCGAATAGTGAACACATTTAGAAAGAACTGAATGGTTGGTTCTAGGCTACTGATGATGTGACCTGTGACATACATGACATTACTGCAGAGGGGCTGCTGTCTGATCAGAGATAGTCTTCACAAATAACTGTTAAACTTACTAGGTTCAAACTTGGAATACCTCATTTGTCCCTTCCAACGAGTTTAGAAAACTAACGGCTAGTTACAGAAAGTAGTCCCTGAACAGTTATAGTAACCAAAATTTAGAAAGGCTAAGTAACTTATACAGCTACTAGGTAACTGAGATGGATTTGAAATCCTGCCTATGCATTCTAGAGGCTGTGTTCCTATCAGCGGCAATACTGCCTCTTCATAGAAATATGTGAGCAGAAAGCAACTCCCTAAAACACCATGTCTTCAAGACGTGGCCAGCTTACTCAAAGCTGCCTCAACCTGCAATGCCTCTGGGCCATTCTGTTCAGTAACTTACAGGAAGTTTTTCTGATTTTTATAAACTTATAGGAAGTTTTTCTGCTAAATACGAGCATTGATAAATATGAGCGTTTCTGTATCTCTTTCTCACTGTGTTTTATTCATCCCACATCTTTGTATCCCAAATCTATAACACGATGCTTAGCCCATGGTATATACATTCTCAGTAACTATTTGATGAACTTAAAAATAATAATTTCATTTGGTGATTGTGATAAACACTATGTGACAACAGCCACTTCACCTGATCAAATTGGATAGAGCTACAACCACACCCCTACACCTAATCACAGCCCTTTGTGCTGTACTGCCTGTGTTGAGGTGGACTGAAAAATATGACTTCACTATCAAAGGAAAGGGCACGGCCAGGAACTTCGTTCAAGCTTGCTGAATGAGTGAGTTCTCGAGGTGAGACATACTTTCTCTGTGACTGTGTCTCAGACGAACCTGGAAGGATCTGGGGTCCCAGTGAAGTAGTGAATGCACGGAGAGCTTCTATTCTGAGGCAGGACAGACACTATACTGGCTGTGGTGAGGAAAGATTCAGAGTCTATGCAGACTCCACTGGCTTTGTCCCGTAAGATGTTAATCATGGTCTGCACAGTGATGCTTTCTGAAAAAGGAGAGAGAGAGATGGACAGAGGATATATAATTGTGGCAAGCTGCTAACTCAAACTCATGCACTTCTTTCTCTTTTTACTAGTAACCCAACCTGCAATTGTAGCTAGGAGCGTAATTACTCAGCCACAGAATATATTTCCCAGCTTCCCTTGTGCCTAGTTCTCGCCATGTGGTAAGTTCTGACCACTGGGAGGTGAGCAGAAATGCAGTGTGTAAATTCCTCGTCACACCTACATCATTAGCCTTCACTTTTCTTTCCCCAATCCTGCTACCTGCGAGACCAAAAATGGAAGACTTGTGTTGAACAGAGTAACTCACCAGCCCTGGACTATCCATATGCATCTGAACTGTAACATAGGAAAAGAATAATTTCCGCTTTCTTTAAGCCACATTAATTGGGAACCTCTTTATTATGGCACATGGTCATAGGTCAATTAGTGCAATAATTCAACAAATATCCATAAGAAAGTGTGTGATCTAGACACTCTCCCCATCCCCCCCTTGCTGGTTAGAGTCAACACTATGTTCCAAGAATGACCTCTCTGCAATAGAAAATACACACACAGAGGCATTCAGAATATTGAAAGCCATTACAACTACCACAGATACATGGATGGAAAAGCCTTAATTATGTAGCATTTTATTTCTATACATTCCCCTCTTGTTATAATTCTTTAAAATACTCAGTTTGCGTCCCAAAGGCAGAATCAAAGCATCACACAGGGAATGAGTTGTTAGTACCATGCATTCTGTTTGTAAATCTCTACTTATAACATGCCACACCTAAGTATATTAACAAATCTTTAATACTTTTTATTCAACTATCCAGTGTTCAAATTTCCTCACTGTTTCATAAACTAGTATACTGATTTAGGTTGGCTGCTATTATTGCTTTACGGAGCTGGAAACTGACCCCAGGGCCTCATACATGCTAAGCATGTCCTCTACCACTGCATTACTTTGATTT